CCTTTTCTCGCAGATAAAAAGTCAGAGTTTTTAATCGCTTAACAAATAAGAAAAGATGGACATCAAATGCTAGTGTGTATAGCGTGGTATATACTGTACTTTTGGTGCATAGTATAGGGGTATTAGAGGACTAAGAGAGAGATAGGAGAGAGACGGGTCTGAATGCAAGATTTTTTCAGACATAGTGTTCGTGCTTTGAATAATTCCCAATTTTAATGATTCAGTGCAAGAGATTTTTTTGTTTTTGCTTTTTGTTTTGCACAGAGTTTTATTTCACAGTATTCTTTGCATTGATTTAGATTAAGTCTCTCTCTCTCTCTCTCTCTCTCTCTCTCTCGAGCGCTGATAAGGACATCGCCTTCGCGGGCAGAAAAGGGATGAAAATTTTTTGGGAACTATACCGCACTTATTGGTAAGAAAAAGGGCGATGAATTGCCAGATAACCGCTTTTTCCGAGACTACAAATTCAGACTAAACTTTTCTAAACTAATATATAAATTCTTGCGAAACAACACCAGACTTAACCAAAAGCCTAATATAATTGTTGTGCAAATTATCATATTTTTGAGTGTAATTTATTTCGATACTCACTTCTCACACACAATATCTAAGCTTTCAATTACTGTCTAATTAAAGGGTCTCTTGTTTTTAATGCGAAACAAGAATAATATTTAGGGTTAGCTTTAATTATTTATACAAAGTGTCTGAATAGGGAGTGAATTTGTATATATTTCTGTGTTTATTATAAACAAAAATGAGTATAATATAAATAATAGTAATAATTAAATCAAAAGAGTTGTTTGTTTCTCTGGAAACAAAATGATACGAATTATGATATTCCCAATGAATAAGACATTAATACATAAAACAAACTATTGGTTAACAGTTTTATTTGAATGAAGTTTTGAACTAATTTAAACTGTAGCTGTAATTTAAACTAGTTACAAAGTGTAGCGTAGTTTTCACTAATAACAGTGTATTAATGCAAAACTTAATCCAATAAATTTATTTTTGCTATAATAACGGAGTTTTAAAAAGTTTAACACCCAAATAGCCTCCACCCCCGGCTATTTAAGCATTTAGTTGCTTGATGTCTAAAAATTGTAACAAAAAATAAGATTTAATTAAAAGTTAAAATAATATCTAAAAGTAAATTTTAAGTTATCACTATTTCTAATTAGCTTACTTTTCATATAATAGCAACAAAATCTGGTTTTTGATGTCATTTAATAAGTGCTGACTAATTTGTGCTTGTTTATTTGTGCAATTAACAAAACTGTGTGATTAAGTCCACGAATGTCTGATGTCTTGTTTAATAACTTATTTGTATTAAATTGAATGAACGTGTGATAAGTTATTCATTTTTAACATTAGAGTAGGCCTGTCAACACCATAACCTCTTATAACTGAATACAACTTACTTGTTATTGTCATATGAAATAGGAATTTAATATTAATTAAACTGTATTTTAAAGTGCATTAAAACATTAAATTAAAATTCATTAAAAACAGGAAATATCACCAATATTTATAAGAAGTTTTAAACTAATAGTTAATTATTTTTTATGTGAATTATATTGAAATTAATTAATTTATAGGTGAGCTAAAAATGAAAATTCTATAACTTTATAAAACAATAATATACTAAACAGAATACAGTATTTTGATTGCAATCATAATTATTAAATAACATATATGACATAAAATAAATAATTTGTATAATACAAATAAGTAAAATGTATGTATATTTGCAAAGTTGATGTGAAATGAAACTGAATTAGTTTTGATGAACTGGTTGTGAATGAACTAAATGTCCAGAACTTGTAAATGAGAAGTGAATCGATCCGATGGCGCGCTCTTATGTTCACTAAACATATTACACTTTAAATTATTAACAATTATTATTTAATAATTTATCAAATATCACTTATATTAGGTTAGTTTTATTAAAGTATTATTAAATTATAAATTTCAAACTTATTTGCTGTTATTTTAAAAATCGTTTCACAGAAGGAATTTTTTTTAATTAAGAAAACTATCAAATTCTCGATAGTATATCAGAAACTATTGTAGAAACTTATAGAAACTATTACAGTAATATAAATTCTTCAAATTCTAAGTTACCATAAACAGTTTTCTGTATTTATTGTTATATAATTTTTATTGAATATATCTCCTATTATTATTTCCTATACTTTGTGTAATTTCTTTTAATCAAGTCATTTAAAATTACTAAGAATTAATGAATATATAAATATTGTAATTATAAATCGAGAGTATTATTTATAAATTTTATAGAAAAATAAATTATGATTTATTTTAAAGATAAATAACTAAAATACTTGATAATTTTGAGATTATATAAATATAATTAAAACATAAACTTATACATGTATTTATGTATAATTAATAATTTTAATAAATATAAACTTTTAATTGATGTCTTTTTAAATAAAGAATTGTTGTGATTTATTTTAATTAATAATCTTATATTTTTGGGCTAAAATAATTTATTTTTGTTATAATCTACACTGTAACTTCTACAGTATATGGTATATTATTCATAAAAATCAATTTATATTTACTAAAAATGTTAAGCATATATTTGTATTGTTAAGTCAAAATTAAAAGTATGTTAAAATTTAACTAAATTTGTTGCAAGTTTTTTTAAATATGTAAAAATTAAAATACGTCAAAATTAATAGTGATTTAATATTTAAAATTTTTAGTGAATTTAAAGTATAAGTTTCATTTAATCGAGCAGAAAAATGTGATTTTTTTCAGTCCATTTGATTAGAATTAGTTTAAATGCATCTTAGTTTTAATTATTTGATCGAAATTTGTGATAACAAAATAATACACTAAAAGTATAAGTTTCATTTAATCGAGCAGAAAAATGTGATTTTTTTCAGTCCATTTGATTAGAATTAGTTTAAATGCATCTTAGTTTTAATTATTTGATCGAAATTTGTGATAACAAAATAATACACTTTTTAAAATATTTTTATATAACATACATATATAATATACAAAATACTTATTGGGTCATGGTCTATTCATAGCTGCCGGTGCCCAAACTTATTGTAAGGACGCGCCTAACCCCGTGAATTAGTTTAAGATTAGAGTGTATTTTTAAAATGATAAAAATCTTTAAATTTCTCGCAACTTATGAGAGGAATGTTAATTAAAAACATTGATATAATAAGTAATAGCTTTTATTAAATACTTTATAATTTGATATACCATTATTGGAGTATTTGTATTTTAACAAACTTGTAATACAATATGAAAATATACACGATTTATGAATTTGTAATATATTTAGAAAACTACAATACTATAAACGTTTAAGATTAGCAAAGTTTTTATCAGTTATTAATATAAAATGATTTAAAGTCAAACATCTAAACTCTATAATAAAACTTTGTAATACAATAGATTGAAATGATTATGGGCTAAGAATGTACATTGTTATCATGTAAGCCCAGTAGTGTTGAAATAAAATTGCACTGGAATTTTGTAGTCACACCTGATATCTCTTATAAAAGGTAGCCTTGAATTGGACTGCAAGTCAGTGGTATCCCTGTCCAGTCTTCAAAGGCAACCAATATTTCAATTATATCTATGTTTATAATTGCAGGCGTTTTCCACACATGCAAGCGGTTGAGCTAAATCTAGAGTACAATATAATGAAGTTTGCAATTTTCAATGTGAATTCACTGCATGATCCAGGCTATAGTTGTGATTTATAATTAATGTCAATACATATCTTTAGCTCTTTTTAATTGAAATCGTTTGAAGTTTTATAAAACCTTAAATTCTGTGTACAGTTTATGCAATTTATTTGGCAATAAAAGGGTTATATTATTTTGCAATAAAATGTATTTTATGAAATTTAATACTGTTTTGTTGATTTTTTATTGAAAATGTACTCTTGAACGAACTTTAAATCAATTGATAAATAAACATTTATACCGTACATTTATTCAAGTATAAATAAATGAATATATGATATTGTGGTAATACATAATTATAAGCCTCTTAAAGTTTTTATAAATTTTATTTGCACTGTTAGTTTGAAATTTCAAATTTACCCAAAGTTTGGAAACGGATTTAGTTATGCAATATTGTAATTATGTGGCGATTGTTGTAAAAGACAAATGTTTTTGTGATTTCAATTCAATTACCAGTCATTGACATTAACTGTACCTTAGATTTGCTCAAAGATTTACTGCGAAAAGAGGCAAAAAGTGTACTTAATTTTGAATAATATTGAATTGAAAGAAATTATTAGAGTCTGAAAACAATTGCGGTAAATATAACACACCCTTTGCATAATAACGTTCAGACTTCTCAATGGAAAAGCCCATAGACTAGAGTTGGAGTGAAGTTTATAAAGCGATTTGGTATTCAAATAAAATACAATGAGATTTTCGAGGGATTTAACGTGAATATGAAGTAGTGATAAGCAATTGGTAGTGCCATCAGAATCAAGGAAATCCGCGTCTGACAGCACCAGTAGCTGCAGCGCAGGTAACCTCAGATTTAGGTCACTTGAACTTGAGAGCCAAGAGAGAGAGAGAGAGAGAGAGAGAGAGAGACAGAGATGCAAACCTGAAATCTCTTCACCGCTCAAACCATTTATCAATTAATGCGCTGAAAAAGTTGCGTTCAATTTGCTGGTGAATCGCTGCGAGAGCGCTGGTAGTTATAACGGTGCGTCCAATGAGACGGCCCTAACCGCTCAATACGTCAAATGACATCTCATTTCATCATTTTGTCGCTTATTTATCGCTGCGATTCTCTAGAAGTATAACTGAAAAAAATATCGCAGTTATTGTTTCAAACTTTTCTGAGGAGTTTGCGATACAAACGCTGAGTTTAGAAGTTTTAGAAGTTTTTAGTTTTTTCTTCAGATTTAGTTTTTCTTTGTGGAAGTTCTCGTAAACCACTCGTAGATACGACCACCGATGAGGCCGTCCTACTGGTGCATGTCTGCGATGTTTGTCATACTATTCTTCATCTACTTGTCGGCTATCAAGTTGGTCCGCGGCCAAGACATTGAGCTCGCATACCATGACTACCAGTCCATGACTCAAATGCTTCAACAGTTTAGCCAAAGTCATCCAGATTTGGCTCATCTCTACTCAATCGGAAAATCAGTACAGGGTTTGTATCAACACTTTTGTCTATTTATGTCAAAATGTTTTGTAAATTTAGTGTCTGATAATAAATCTAACAATTGTAAGTGTTAAGAATTAAGCCTAATCTACGTCAAGATATGCAATGCAAACAAAAGTAATATTCAACACTCATATGAACCAAGCATAAATAAACACTTGATTTGAGAAATATTTTTATTTAATTCATTGCTAATATCATGGTTGCATTGATTTACAAGTGTTGATAGCTTTATTTCAATAATAAACTATTATATACTAATTAACTAGAGTGTGTGAATTTATAGTTAAATAGTTTTTCTGTGAAATATTTATTTAAATTCAACAACAGTTTGCTAAATGTATGAAAAAGTTTTGCAAAATAGAAAGTTATTTCTTACTAATGATGCTATTTTACTCTTTAAGTGCTAAAAAGTTTATTGCAGATTAAAACATTAGATATAATTAACACTTATTTTCATTTCCCACTTAATTTAACTAATAATTAATCAGTGAATAATTAGAAGTCAATCAGATATGAAACAAAATGTGAAAACTGTTTGCAATTCCCAGAATCAGATTGTATTGAAAGGAAATACAGGAAAGTATACTGAAAGCTCATACAATACAAAACTTTTGTAGTTTATAAATAGCATCCTTTCCCGGGAATGCAAAAGAATATCAAGCAAAACAATAAACAAAAACAATTAATTATAGCTTTTATCTGAGTTTAGGCCGCGATTTATGGGTCTTATTATTAACAAAGGATCCGCACGAAGAACCTCTTCTGAAGCCTAATGTCAAATATGTGGCAAATATGCACGGAAATGAAGTATGAATTGCTACTCACCTTAACATTTGTTCACAATTTACTTATTAATACAATGATTATTGAACTGTTAGGCAGTCGGAAGGGAACTGATGTTACAATTGATACCATACTTATTAAACAACTACAGAACTGATCCGTACGTGCGATCACTTCTGGATAATACAAGAATACATATCATGCCGTCCATGAATCCCGACGGCTTTGAAAGCTCTGTTGAGGGCCAGTGTACTGGTGGACAGGGAAGGTATGTAGAGTTTCCTGTTGATTGCAATTAGTATTTACATTAATTGAAATATAAATTGAATGCTAAGATGCGGAATATTTTATAAAATTCTGTGGGAAATATCAGAATTTATTGAATCTTTAGAGAGGATTTGGTTGTTTTACTTAACGAACTATTTTTGAGGGTAACGGGAGCTGATTGTTGGCCGTGGACTGTCCAGTGGGCGCCATTTGATTCGGGGATAGTTGTGTGTTGGACACACATCCGGCATATTTAATGCAGGCTTCAATCAGACTCTGGATGTCATTAATCTGTTGCCGCAATTCCTCCCATCGGTTGATAAGATCTGTGACTATTTTCATACGATTCCCGTCCTTATCCGGCATTCTTGTGGCAATGGTTTGCATTTGACGGATACGATCGGCATTTCCCATGTGGACCGGTAGTACATCGCTTGAGTTCACCAGTGAGTGCTTACCGCCGATGTAATCGCGGACATTGTTTGCCATGTGTTCGCTGATCACAAGCAAGAGCTCCCGGTTCTCACCAGTCTTTACGCACACGGCTTGTTGTCTATTGACACCGTTGATGGTGTATGTCTGAAATGGTTGGCACTGACCCTCAATGTCTTTGATATATGCCATCCATGTATTGTTCTCCGCATTCCGCTCCACAGCAATGACAAGACCTGCCATTTGAATGACTTTTTGTGTGGCGCTAAGGGATGCGACTCGAGCTGTCATTTCTCCCAACCCTTGCAACACAATCTTCTGATCGCCGGCGCTGTTGATATCAATGCAGATATCACTGAAATTGAATCCAAATCCTTTGAGTTGTTCCACTCTAAGTCTCACCTCATCCATGTATTTGTTGATAATGAGTGCCAACTGTCTGAACAAACCCTTGTCCGTCAGGTTGTCCATCTTCCAGTCGTCGATTACATTTTCCTCTGTCATTTAAATCCTGAGCTAACTGTCCAATTGAAATGGCGTTCAAATAAGTTTACAATGTACTGGATATTGTTTGTATAGATCTATAAATTTATAGATTTACAGATTGTTATTCAACTTTTTATGAATAATACGATAAAATAATTTTTAAAAAATTTAAAAATAATAAAGTTTTTAGAATAATCTTGATTAAAATACCCAGTTAATATAATTAATTCAAATAAGTCATCCTGGTGCTTTTAACTTATTAAACAAATAAACTTAAATATCAAAGCAGAACTAAATTTAATTTATAAAATAATAATTAAATGCAAGCAATTCTTAAAATTAAAAATTTACTGAAAAATTAGATATTCCTATAAATAAATATGTTATTAATGTTACTAGTACAGTACTGCTGTATTTTTAATGTACAATAAATAACTTATTTAAAATTCTACGGTAATTAATAATACAACAAAATTAATGTTATTTAATCATGTATTATTTTATCACTTCAGATATAATATACGAGGGTTTGATTTGAATCGAAACTTCCCCGACTATTTCAAGTCCAATAATAAGGCCCAACAGCCTGAGACTCAGGTCGTACGGGAATGGATTGATTCCGTGCCCTTTGTATTGTCGGCTAATCTTCATGGAGGAGCTCTGGTCGCCTCCTATCCCTACGATAACACTCCCAGTTCAAGTGAGAATTTCTTTCATTACAGTAAAGTATATTTTTATTTGGGTTTAAATAGTTGAAAATCTTATTGTGTTATTTGTTAACACAATCTTTTGTGTTGCTAACAAAACAGTCAATCATTATGTTTAGCAATAATACTGCAATCAGGAAATCCTTAATTATATCTATACTACTGCTATAAATTTATGAAAACAGAAGTTTCTATGAAAATAAGTAAAGATTTTCTTTAAGAAAATATTAAGTACTAACTATAAGTAAGTTTATTGAGTAATTAAATTAGTTGTTTACTGGGTTATCTGCAAATGCTAATTAATTAATTATTCATTGAATATTGCTTTATACATTTTTTAGTTTTATCTCAATTCACATTACACTCGAGTGAAAGTCGGACTCCAGATAACGATGTGTTTAAGCATTTGGCTCATGTATATTCACTCAATCACTTAACTATGCATTTGGGACATCCCTGTCCTGATGGAAGTAATACTGGGTTCGTGAACGGAACTACTAATGGCGCCCAATGGTACCCATTGACTGGTAATGCTCGATAACCATTAACTAATTGAATTGAATTGTGATGAATAAGTTTGTGACATATCTCAGGCGGAATGCAGGACTACAACTACATATGGGGCTCGTGTCTGGAGATCACTCTGGAGTTGTCGTGTTGTAAATACCCTCCGCGACAGGATTTGGGCCGATACTGGCGGGAGAACAAGAGGTCACTACTCCTGTATTTGGGTGAAGTGCACCGGGGGGTCAAAGGACTGATCACAGACGTGAACGGAAACGCCATAACCAGTGCTAAGCTTAAGATCAAAGACAGAGATATCACTTTCAAGTGCTCAAAAAGGGGAGAGTTTTGGCGCATATTATTGCCCGGGATCTACACGTTAGAGATATCGGCCGAAGGATATCATAGTTTAGAGCAACAGTTTAGTGTAGAAGACGGTCGCATAACTGTCCTCAATGTCCAGTTGACTCCCATTGGATTCGTAAGTAACAGATCATTAGTGAACTCCACTTTGATTTCTAACAATACTAACACTTCGGACCCAAATGTTGTAAATATTGCCGAAAATATGAGATTAAAGATTGCAAATGTGAAGAGTAGTCCCACGAATAGAGCACCGGTAACTGATAAGCAAGGTTATCTTACAACAATTGGTACAACAGTTCATACAAACAAAATGTTTGATAACTTAGAGTACAAATGGATTTATAATAAGTCATCGATTGATTGTGTGAACAAATTGCTCGTTTGTCTTTGTCTTATAATATTTGTGTACAAAATGCATGTTTTGAAGACTAATCGCATGATTGCATGATATTCTGGTTATGGATTTGATTGTCATTATGTTTGCGGTGAAGGGTCTTCTTCATGACAATTCATGACAAACTTGTAAATAACTTACTATTCATTTAGCATCAGTCGCACAGAACGGGCTCTTCGAGACCATCACTACTAAACAGTCTCAGTAATAGCCAAAGCAATCCAATACTGATCTCATCGTCGCCTACCATCTCCTCATCAGCTCAACCATCGAAACTACAATTCATTTCACAGCCGTCTGTAGGCGTAGGTATTCAGCGCCCGAATCACACATTAAGCCTATCGTCAGACCCATTAGCGCCGCACCAGTACTCGTGGCCGAGTTGGCCGTCCAGACGCGGTCAGGGCAACGGCGCCACTGAGTTTACGACCACTGCTCCCATCACTAACTTATTTAGTAGTCTTTCCAACAGAATCAACAGTTGGGCCACCAATTGGGGGGGTTAGGCCACCAAGATAATTACTAAAATTGACTTTTTATATATTCTGTATATTATTTACAAATTATTTTAAGTTTTCATGTTTGTATTGTTTTACCTAAACTTTTAAATATCACTTGTTTTTAATGATCATAATTGTGAAGACATTAAACGCAAAATATTTATTTTTAAAACAATTTTAATAAATAAATGTATTTTATGTTATTAATGCTAATGTT